CAAATCTCTTATGGACAATGAGATATGGGAGTTGATTCGACTTCCACCAAATCGATCAGCAATTAGATGTAAGTAGGTGTTTAGAACCAAGAGAGATGTTATGGGCAATGTTGTGAGGTACAAGGCAAGATTGGTTGCCAAAGGCTACTCACAAGTTGCTGAAGTGGACTTTAATGAGACATTTGCACCCGTGGCCAAGTTCACCACCATTAGAACCATAGTAGCAATTGGAGCATCAATGGACCTTGAGATACATCAAATGGACGTCAAGACAACATTTTTGAATGGAGAATTGGAAGAAGACATCTACATGGAGCAACCTCAAGGATTTATTCAACAAGACAAACACCACCTTGTTTGTAAGTTGAAGAAGTCATTGTATGGACTCAAGTAATCACCAAGAGTATGGTACCAATGCATTGACTCATTCTTTGTGAAGGAAGGTTTTGTAAGGAGTGAAGCTGACCATTCTTTGTATGTATTACAAGCCAAGGACTTCTTGCTGGTTGTGATCCTCTATGTAGACGATTTAATCATCTTAAGCAACACCATGGTAAGATTGGATTGGTTGAAGAAGAAATTGGAGAGAGAGTTTGAGATGAGTGATTTGGGAGAGCTCTATTATTATTTGGGTGTGGAATTCACAAGAAGTAAAGAATCAAAGACCATTACATTGAGCCAAAGGAAGTACATTGAAGAAGTGTTGAAATGATTCAATATAGGAGATCGCAAGTCCATTGGAATTCCTTTGGAGGCCAACTTGAAGTTGATGAAGCTCACGAATGAGGAGTATGTTGAAGTTGAGCATCAAATGCAAGGCATACCATACAAGGCAGCAGTAGGCTCACTCATGTATGCAATGGTAGGCACAAGGATGGATCTTGCATTTGCAGTAAGTGTTGTAAGCCAACACATGGCAAAACTAGGTCCTATGCATTGGACAACCATCAAGAGAATCATGAGGTACTTGAAAGGCTCTTTGAACTTCAAACTATAACTTGGAGGAGATAATATTGCATTACATGGATATTGTGATGCGGATTGGGCTGGAGATGCAAACGATAGAAGGTCAACACCGGGCTATGTATTCTTTATTGGAGTAGGAGCCATATCTTGGAATTGCAAGAGACAACCAACCATTGCAAGGTCCACAATGGAGGCGGAGTACATGGCAGCAAGTCATAGAGCAATGAAGGCAATTTGGTTGAGGTTATTATTGGAAGATATTAGACTTGTGCAATTAGAGGCCACTCCATTGAGGTGTGATAATCAAAGATGTCTTGTTTTTGTAAAGAATCCAAAGTATCATGCAAGAACCAAACACATTGATATTCAGCATCATTTCATAAGAGAGAAGATAGAGATGGGGGTTATTGATATGATGTATTGTAAAACCAAAGACATGTTGGCTGATTTGTTGACAAAAGCCTTAGTTAGAGAAAGACACAACAAGTTGAGTAAGGCATTAGGATTGATAGCTAATTGACCAATAGCAAAGTGAGGGTGTTGAAGGAAAGAACTCTTTAAGTAGTTGCTAATGGTCAATAGAGTACAAGTGTTGTTAGAGATATTCCATAAGATTAGGTGCTGGTCTATAGTGCATTAGAATACAAGGGGAGGGCTGGTCCTAAGAGATATCCCATATGGGTTGTAGCACTTCGTACCTTGGTACTAGTATATAATGAAAGGGTTGGCATGGGAAGAATTATCTCATACCACACTCTATTTGTTAAAGTGCAACCTTGCTAGTTCTAACTTACTTGTGTGGAGTATGCTTTCTATGTTTCAATAATCTCGCTAATTACTCCTCCTTTGATATCATATCATTATGGTACTTTGAGAAGTATCATTTACAAGCAAGTTTAGAGATGAAGAATTAAGCTAACAACTCAATCAAAGATATGAAACTAGGTGTTTGTTGAAACATACAACAACCAAACTTTGTTGCTCTATAATCCAAGCACTACAACGATAATAAGAATAATTCTAGCAACACCATTGTTGATAAAACTTACAAAAATATCAACATAGATAGAACAATCTACCAAAAAGATAATACCTATGCATACATCCTTCATCTTCATTTCTACCACTACTTGGTTACAATTTTGATACATCCACATCTTTAGCTGGAAAAAAATGGAAGAGATAGCCGCTTTTGAATTCAAGTATATACAATCGTTCAAAGATATAACAATAGTATTCTAGAAGCAATTTTTGAACATTGTATCACATCAAACAGCTACTTCCATTGCAATGCTTAAATGAATTTTTATGGCAACTTAAGAAAATATATTGCCCTATATTGCCTATTGTTATCACACATTCATACTTTGTATGCACTGGCATCTATGACTCAAGACTACATCATCGCCTTGTAAGTCTCTAGCTCAGTTTGTTCACTGTCACTCAAGTCTGCATCTAAATTAGTAATTTTTTTCTTATGCAAAATTTTCTTCTCTTTTGAATTTTTTTTATATAGAATAAATTCTTGAATGCCTCTTTTGAAGTTGCCAAAATTCTTATTATGGTTGCAAACAGCCTCTTGAGAGCCTATTGGATATGACTTTTGACTAATAGAAATGAAGATCTTCATTCTTTGTCTTCACTTATCCATATCTTGCTTTCATCCTTCCAAATAAGTTTCTTAGAGATTTAGATCTTCAACTTTGAGCCTCAATTTTTTCTTTAAATCTTATACTAAATATCTAAATCCTATATAATTTAAATATTATAATAAAAATAGATAAATTTTAAAATAAATTTTCTTATATAAACTCTCTTTAAATTAATCTACTAACCACTCTAATATACATCAACACTTATAAATATATTATATATTTTAGTTAATTTTTACATATTATAAATAATTATAGTACAATAGTGGTATCTATTAGACAAAAGGAGTAAAGAATGAATCTTCAACTTCTATTAGTGGTGAAAATAAAGCTAGAGAGATTGTTACAAGCAAGCTTTATAAAACCTATAAAAATCACTAATTGGATATCACCTATGGTACTTGTAAAGAAAGAAAATAGGAAGTTATATATATATATATATATATAAATTATTAGAAATTAAATGCTCACACACAAAAAAAACCATTTTTATTATCTTTTATTATTAACATCTTAGAAGAGGTAGCAAGACATGAATGTTGTACATTTATGCACGGGTATTATGGTTACAACCAAGTATCTATCGTTTTTGCGAATATATATACGAAGGTGTTTACAACACCATAAGGTACCTTTATATGGTATATAATGCCATTTGGTTTATGCAATGCAGTGGCCACTTTCCAATGATTAGTTATATACATCTTCACTTGCTTGTTGTATAAATCTATTATAGTATTCATCAATGATTTTAGCATGCAATTTATGAAGGACGGTCTTCTACATTACATGAAAGAGAGCTTAAAGAAATGCAGAAAGATGAGATTGGGGTTAAATCTTAAAAAAAAAACTATCTTACAATGCGTTGTGGGATATTATTAGGCTATATGGTAAGTGAGAGTGGTAGAAAGCCCAAACTAGAGAAAATTAGAGTCATCAATAACTTCAAACCTCCAAAGAGTGTGAAAGATGTACAAAGAATATTAGACCACATTGAATGGTACGGAGAACTAATTCTAGATTATGCTACAATCATCCTCTCTATCACTAGCATACAAAAAAAATAAATGAAGTTTGAATGGATCGAGGTTTATCAAGAGGCATTTGAAGTTCTAAAGAAAAAGTTAAGTTTGTATCAGGTCTTATAACCTCCAAAGTGGAATCTACTCTACTATGTATATTGTGATGCAAGTATGGTAGTGGTCGGAAGTATAGTGTGCCAATTTGTCAAAGATAAGAAAAAGAGAAGAAATTATCTTATTGCCTATGCAAGTCGTCAACTTAATGCTGTTATACAAAACTATTCCATGACCGAGTAAGAGTGTTTGACAATAGTTTTCACAATAAAGAAATTTTGCCATTACCTTTTAAATAATAAGGTAGTATTTTTTATGGACCACATGGCAATTAAATATTTGACTAATAAACTAGAATTGAGCAACCGATTAGCATAATAGATGCTATTGTTTTAGGAATTTGACTACAAAGTAGAATTCAAACCTTGATCTATCCATAAACAAGTAGATCATCAATCTTGCTTGTCATTCGGCCTCGAAGCAACATCAATTAATGATAGTTTTGTGGATGAAAGTCTTTTCATGGTGATAGTGCAATCTACTTAATATTTAGAGATCACTAAATTCCTCACTATTTAACAAATTATTAGTGGAGTTATTCAAAATTATCTAGGATATGACAAATAGATTCCATATTTATCACAAAAAGACAATACCTTATCATCCTCAAACTAATAGGCCAATAGAGAGGGTTCACCAAAACTTAGTGAGCATTTTAAGCAAAATCATGCATGATGCCAGGTAGGATGCCAAACTATCAATTAACTATGAACATATCAAACTATGGTCAAGAAAACTACGTAAGCTATGCCACTTTCATTGGTAAACAAAATTGAGGCCATATTACAAATCAAGTTTGAGATAAATTGGTAATAAGGCCTCAATATTGTATACCAAAGAAACTGCATGTCTCTCAATATTCCTCAACAAACTGGGGCTGCTGAATTCTCCATTGCACTCGAAACTGTCTCCTGGTTTCGACTACTTCAAGGGGCCCTCAACAGCTGGTCTCTCGTGAGCCAGCGCGGTTCGTTGCAGGAAGGCAATCACGGGCATGCAACAGATGTGAGGTCATACATCTGTTACAGAGTACGTGGGGGAACATTTGCAACTCCGCCTTGCACGAACGACTGGGAGGAGGTTACATGTGGGACGAAATTGCGTGATAGGCCTTGCCTGGTTTCTGATGTTCTTAGTCATGGTGCACTTCACAATACTGCTTCTGAACTGAAGATGACCGAACTTGTGCAGGTGGTTACGTTGCAGTGGATGCTGAGAAGGTGCAAGCGATCTTCAGTCTCCAATCATGGCGAAACATCTGGCGACCCAGTTGCTGCAACAATGGAACGAGGCGCTGAAAACCATGCCTCCCGGATTCAGGACGGCGGGGAAAATCCTGGTGTGGGAGGAGCTTGCTTCCAACAAAGTGCTCATCACTATCGCACTTGCTTGGGTCCTTCTCTTCGTTGCGCGAACATGTTTACGAAACAAAAAGAGACTGCCTCCAGGTAGACGCGGGATGCTCAACGAGAGCACCTCCGGTCACTCTTCAGATACATGCGTGCAAACTTCACTTGGGTGTAGGGACGGTAAACGTCGGTTGAATGAGATGCTCGAAACCAAGGTAATTGCTCACCATGTTTCTCATTCGCCTTGTGCAGCTATTCCTGGCGGGTTGCCAGTGTTGGGAAACCTGTTGCAACTGACAGAGAAGAAACCACACCGCACTTTCACTGCATGGTCTAAGGAACATGGACCCATCTTCACCATCAAAGTCGGGTCAGTCCCTCAGGCTGTTGTAAACAATTCCGAGATTGCCAAGGAGGTGCTGGTCACCAAGTTTGCTTCGATATCGAAGCGACAAATGCCCATGGCATTGCGAGTCTTGACTAGGGACAAGACCATGGTCGCAATGTCTGATTATGGAGAGGAGCATCGCATGCTGAAGAAACTGGTGATGACCAACCTCCTCGGCCCAACCACTCAGGTACATGACCACAGAGTTCAACAGAATCCCCCTTGTCTGAAAATGTGTCATGTCTATGCTTCCCACTCAAAGGGAACTCCGGAAGAAAAAATAGTTTGCAGCCCTGCATTTTACAGACGCATTTCACCAAGTGGTATGGAGTTCGGCTGTGCAGAACAAAAACCGATCGTTGCGCGACGATGCACTCATCGGCATGATCGAAGGAGTGCTCGCCGAGTTGAAAGCCTCCCCGACCTCCCCCAAAGTCGTGAATGTTCGAGACTACGTGCAGCGATCGCTGTTCCCCTTCGCCTTGCAGCAGGTGGCTTAGACCCGAGATTCTTCCGTCTCGTCAATAACTGACTGGAAGATTTTGCATGATGAACAATGGGTCACGGTGAGTATGCAGTAGTCCTGAAGCATCGGTGTACCGTGCAGGTGTTCGGGTACATACCCGACCAGGTGGAGGTGCTGGAATTGGGAACTTGCGTGTCGACGTGGGATATGTTTGATGCTCTAGTCGTCGCCCCACTGAGTGCAGTCATCAACGTGGACTGGCGTGACTTCTTCCCCGCACTCAGGTGGATTCCAAACCGGAGCGTCGAGGATTTAGTACGAACCGTGGACTTCAAGCGCAACAGTATCATGAAGGCCCTCATCCGAGCGCAAAGGATGCGCCTCGCAAACCTCAAGGTCACATCACTTAAACGCAGAATCGCTACGTCTCCGTTGTAAGTGCTGACAGTCCATATCTGGGAACGAGAGATTCAGTCGGGTCGGTAAGGGTCTGACTGTGGTTCGTGCATATTGCAAATTCGCAGGAGCCCCCAAGATGCTATGCCGACATCGCATTGACGGAGGCAACTCACCTGACCGAGAAACAGCTAGAGATGAGCCTGTGGGAGCCCATCATTGAATCGGCGGACACCACGTTGGTCACCTCGGAGTGGGCAATGTACGAGATTGCCAAAAACCCTGATTGCCAAGATCGCTTGTACCGCGAGATTGTGAGCGTCGCAGGGACAGAACGCATGGTAACAGAGGACGACTTGCCGAACATGCCGTATCTGGGTGCCATCATCAAGGAGACGTTGCGGAAATACACGCCGGTGCCGCTGATCCCGTCTCGCTTTGTTGAAGAGGATATCACCCTCGGCGGCTACGACATCCCCAAGGGATATCAAATCCTCGTCAATTTGTTCGCAATAGCCAACGATCCCGCCGTTTGGAGCAACCCCGAAAAATGGGACCCCGAGCGGATGCTGGCGAACAAGAAAGTAGACATGGGATTCAGGGATTTCAGCCTCATGCCATTCGGAGCTGGAAAGAGGATGTGCGCTGGCATCACACAGGTGAGCTTCTACGACATCCAAAGCAAATTCAATTCCCCTCGCCACTTCTGGTCGTGCTTCAATGCTTTATAGTAAAGGATGTTGCAGCCAACCAAGCACAGCTAACCTGCAAACATATGTGTGGGAATTGGAACATTTGGCTCACAATACGAACACGGTTGAAGCGCAGGCAATGTTCATCATCCCCATGAATGTGGCAGCACTGGTACAACATTGCGAGTGGCGATTGTCTCCTCAGGAGATCAGCAACATCAACAACAAGATCGAGGATGTGGTTTACTTGACGACGCACAAGCTGTCTCCTCTGTCGTGTGAGGCTACGCCTAGAATCAGCCACAGATTACCCTGAACCTCAGAGAGTCCAACCACGTGTATCAAGCGGATATTAGCTCATAGACAGATGAGCCTCGGGGCATGCCGGGCCCAATTGCTGAAGCCCTGTTCGGAGAGGACCACCGGAAGGCCAGCTCAGCTTCACTGCGCCTTTGTGAATTTGGTGTTTTACAGATGGCAGCACTACCTTTCTTCTTCTGCTGCTTCTTCGCCCTCCCCCTCCAATGAATCGCATGTCCTGATTCGTGCATGATGGTTTGTGCCTGGCGGGGTAAACATTCACCGACCTGAATGGCGAACGTTCAATTCGTAATGAGAAGATCCGTAAGTGAGTGGATCGATGTCATTACCGAGCTGGAAATGTAAGCCGAGGGTAAATGCATCAGCAAGTGTGCAGAACGGAAGTTTGCTTTTGCACAAGTAGGTTTGTCGTGGTTACGATTCGTTGTCGAAGCAGGTTGAGACTAATCCCGATGTCGGATAAGTGATTAGACCGACGAATGTAAGCTGATATGAATAAATAGTGAACATGTTGCAAGCCAGTTCCGCCAGGTGTGTATGCGGAGGTGCGCAGTGTAAACCCATCTTTTTAAATCGAGAAATACTTACAACAAGTGCTGATACGTAGACAAGAAGAATCTCGTCTTCTTCACTCTACAGGAAATGTACACTTGGACATAGTCACCGAATTGAACGCACTGGTAAAGCCGAACGGAATCATCGCGACTGAACCCAACGCGTGAAGTATACCAGACGAGAGGCTTACAAGCAAGTTTGGGTGGCGCCTTGAGTTACCACAGAAGCGTCAGTGGCAGAGGAACCATGACGCCATGACACACACTGCCTTTACTGGTAATGCTAATTGTTTCTGTTTGAAGGAGCTCCCACTCATGGTTGCAACATAGTCTTGGACGCACGCACAATCATTTTGGATTGAATAGTCTTGGGATGCCCATGAAAGATGCAGTCAGTTGCTTCTATGTAAGATATATAATGCGTGAATTAGTCTTTGGAGTGAATGACCACACTTGCCCACTTTGATTGATGATGGTAAAGTGGCAGTACTTGGTTAAGCTAAGATTGCCACTTGTGCAAATGATTGACCACTTGATAACATGCATGCATTGTGTAACCTTTGTATGTTCATGTCAAGTTATTTATGTTTAGATAAATAACATTTTTTTTCTTTTTTTTGCCATTGTCTACGTCAAGCATGGAAGATAATATTTTCTTTATGTTTAGATAGAGAAGACGATGAAGTAATGAGCTCCATATTTCTTGATTATTGGAATTGTTATTTTTCTTAATTTTTTAATATATGATTATTATCAACATCTAGAAATGATATGTATACAATAGTTTTATAAGCATACATAGTAAGAGCAAAATAGATGATAATGTACAAAATATAATACATAAAAAAGGTTTATAATACAAAAAAATAGAGAGTAGAAATCATATAATATTAAATCAATTTCATAGTATATTTTGTCAATTGCTTTGTAAAAAATATATATTTTATACAAAGTTTATGTGTAACTTATTATATGTTCTCAATAGATGCTTGTTTTAAGTTTAGAACCATATATATTGTGTATTGCACCTTAAAATATGTTATCAGATAATTAATTATTGTTGAGTAAAAATATTACATTTACTATATACATAAATATAAATATAATACATGTGGTTCCCTTCTTAATTCCAATTAATTGATCAATGTTTTATTTTTTGTTGTAAAGCCATTGCAACTATAAGTTTAATATAGAATTTTATTTTTATATATATCTATATATATATATATATATATATATATATATTAATAAATTCAAATTTCTTATCTATAAGACCAAATGTTTTTACCAATATATATTTGCATTTGATCCATATAACTCCTAAAGTTAGTTTACATTTTTTGCAATATTTTAACTACTATCATTATTAAATATTAATATGTATTTAAATTCTTAGGTTTTGTTTTAGAATTATATTTACATCTTTGAATATTGAAATGGATATTTCTAAGAATACTTAAATTTATAAAGACGATAGTAGAATAAATAATTATTATTTAAGAACTAATGAATCTTTTTTGAATTATTTAGCAAAGCATGTGAAGTATAAGAAAAAAGTAATATAGACACATGTAGAAAGTGAAAATTAAAAAGAAAAAAAAAAGAAAAAAAGAAAAAAAGAAACCACAAAATTTGTATCATCTATTGCATATTATGAATTAATAATAATAAAGAAAAGGATGCATATATGACTTATCTAACATAAGCAATAATTAACAATCGTATTGTGGACTTAGATAAATTATCTTATTTCAAATAGCTTAGAAATCCTCTTATTATTTTTGGAATGTAATCTTAATTCCCTATACCTTGAAAATCTATATCTTTTTAAGATGTTTTTTTAAATTACATATAATTTAGGAATATATTTTATCAATTAGACGTTGATTTCATACGTAATTAAATATAATTTATAATACTTAAGTAAAAATAAAACAAAAAAATAAATTATATTAATATTATAGAATCAATATAAATCAATAATACAAACAATGTTTGATATGCATTAGAAGAAAGTTAAATAGATACTTGTGTGTATATATGTGTATTTGGATGGGGTTAGTGTGTTATTTTTTTATTTTATTTTTTTAAAATATATATATCTATTTACCCATTCCTTTTCTAAAGTTTTGTATTAAGTGTAGTTTTTATTTTTATTTTGTCAACTTCTCCAACAGAATAGAATAGGAGTAAGCATCTTACTTCTTATATTGCATGATGCATTGTATTTAATCCAAATCTAGAAGAGTATAATTTCTTATATTAGACATACAATACTATTATATACTATGCTTAAGAAATTTTAGATAGACATGTATTAGAAAAGATTTTTCTTCAAAATTTGTAGGATAAGAACTTCTAAGATTGATTAGAATAAGTCAAATAGAGAATTCATGTATGCATAATGTTTTGAAGTTCATTGGTGCAAATAGGTGGTTCTCTTAGAATGAGGAAAAAACTTCCATGCACATTTTACATACATATACATAATAATAAATATAAAATAATAAAAAATCCATATATTTTTATTTTTTTATAATTTATTTATTTATTAAAGTATAAAATATAAATAAATATAATTTTTAAAAAATAAAAATAAAATAAAAATATATTATTCTATAACCATATATATAGGCATACATCAAAACCTATCTGAAATTATATGCATAGCACCAAAGTTTTTGTATGATTTTAGGATGGGAATGATATAAGGCAAGGTCAATAAGTTAATATTACTTACAAACTTAGGGTGCATATTTATGAAACTCTTTGATAAGACTTAGGATTAGCTTTTGAATTCTCTCTAATAGGCATATCTTGCTTCTACACCAAGATTATTTTATTTTATTTTATTATCACATTCTTTGCTGCCACATAGCACCAATAAAAGAGGAAAAGCATTCAACCATAACATACAATATTTTTTTAAAATTTTGCAAGCATTTTGAAAAGAATCCTCACTTTAAGTTACACAAATTAAAGAAATTGCTCTAATATACACACATTTTATCCATAGACCTGTCAACTATCTCAAAGATGTTGAAGAAATTTGCAAAGTTGCTCAACACTACATTAGATACCCACTAAGCTGCCAAATGCGAATAAAAAATAAAATACATGTTAATAGAGGGGACACTTGTAGACTAATTTAATGCAAATGAAGAGCATGTCAATTCCATCAAAGATCTAATTTGCAAGAGTGTAACACGCATTATAGACCAATTCTATATAGAACATGATCTATTCCACTTTTCTAATAGATGACTTATAACTTTCAAAACTTGACATGACATCAAATCCTTTCACAATTTTGAAGAGAGTTTTTTGGTTGGCATTGTGGCTCTTATTAATGCATTGCCTATTCTTTTTAATATCCTTAATAAATTTGAATAGGAAAATATCTAGAATATAGATGAAATTGGTCATTTTTATCATATATAAGTAAACATTTGCACGAGTTGCATTTAAGGAATGATGAATATTATAGTGAGATTGGTAGATTGATAAATATTCTAAAGCAAACAAAGATTTTTTTGGCCACAATATAACTTAAAAGACACAAGTATAATAAAGAGCACATTACCATTGCAATTTGCACCAATGGTGATGTCACTCAGAAGATATAAATGTGGTTCATTAGCAAATATGTCAATCTTTGTTGCTTCACGCACCTTAAACTCTACAATCTCATTTGCAAATAATGCAATAGTTTTTACACGTGAAATGAAAAATTCTTGACTACACAATTATTAAGACTGTAATATTTGAAAACTTTTATACAAATAAAGAAATCAACCAATAAAAATATATTAAACTCTTGTTGCAATTTAAGCCAGAGATCAATTTGGATCAAGACAATAATCTTACACTTTCCAATTTAATTTACTACAATATATACACAAATTCTTCTATTGGTATATACCATTAACAAAAAAAAAAACTTGAATTCTTTGGTTACTTGATTTAAAAGTCATCTCAAAGTTTGAATTAAAAAAATATAAATTACATGTCATCTCAAATACAAAAATATATATTACATGTCATTTCAAATACAAAAAAAATATAAATTACATGTCATCTCAAATTTTGAATTGAAAAAATTAAATACAGATAAAATATGATCATGACATTATATGAGTGCACTAAGATTAGGAGGATACCTTTTTTCTGTGTTTTATCAACTCTGCACTCCACTGCACTTCCGAAGACACAGGAGAGAAAGTGTAGTGGTGGACGGACGAACGGACGAGAAACGGCGGACTGGGGACGAGGGGGGGGGGGGGGGGGGGGTTTGTCCGCGGGCTTCGTCTGCCTGGTCTCGGTTTCTTCAGACTTCGGTTTGGTTTGGCATGGTATGGTATGGTATGGTTTCTCATGACTGTGGACCAAATCCCAGGCCATGCCTTCTTCAAACCCTAGCCAAACCTCTCGCCATCGCCATCTCCCCGTTGTAGCTCTCTGCATCGCCCCCGCCAGCATCCCGTTGCTGATGTGCTTGTACTTGCGCACTTCCATGGCCGCGGTTCAAGCTATTTTTTCCAGAGTAAATTGCACGTCGTTCGCCAATACCACCAGTCCCATCCAGTGCATCCATTCGCCCCCGCCAGGTACGTCACTCGCAATTGCCACATCTTCGCATGCGTTCCAGGGCTGTGAGCTAAAGCTTTCAGTGTAGCTATGCTGGGATGGCGATGGACATCGCGGTTCCAGCTCCTGATCGCCAATTTGGGATCCGATTAACGAACGACACGCTGATCAAAGTCCAGCCTGAATGACTGTTCACAATGCGTGGGGTTTCATCGTACTTGTATTATCACTGCAAAATCCCACTTGGAAACACTGTAGGAGAGTATGTTAGTATCTCAGCTTGTACTCTAGACCACAGAGATTTCTTCCTCACAGCATGTACCCGCTCCTGGCGATGGTCATCCAGTTGTTATGGATGATGATTACGCCCTCGCAGGTTTTTAAATAGTGGCGCTCCTATGCTGTATAGTATGGTTTCAAGTCCGAGAGATGGGCTGGCGACATTCATGCTAGCCACAGATAAATTGGCTGCGTCATATTTGAATTAGGAAATGCTGTAGTGCTCTGGCATGTATGGCAACAGAAGGCTCCTTAATCCTCCACTGTATGAGGGGTGAGCAAAAGGATAGTTCGTTCCACTTCCCCTGTTAAGCGCCCTCGCTTCTGTGCAGGTAACCTAATCCGGTGTTGAGAGGGCGCCCAAGTGCTGTGTACATAATTCATTTCTGGAGAATGGAAGGCGATATTGAATGGTTTTCTGCACACCCTAGATAGCAGGCAATGGTTGAGGCACGGCCCATAGCAAGCGTGACAGATACAGCAATTATAACATCTACTGCATGCCTGATCTGGTGGAGTTAGATGATGCATGGTCAGGGAGAGGACTTGGAGCACGTGACAATATTTTGAGGATCGAGCTGAAGGGGATGAGCTAGCGAAGTCTGTGGCACCGTTGTGGTGCCGTGGCGAAACGATGGCATCCATACAGAGGTTGGATCTTACGAAATTGAGCAGTCCCGATGTAGGTCTGCACAATGCTGGCGGGGGTTCGCACCGGAACTTCGGTGTAAGTTTAGATAAGTCTCACAGTTTTCGAGATGGTCACGAGGCTCGGGTGACGGGTGGGAACGGGCCATCCAGCTCCCGCAGGGAGGCTCCGGCTCTGACGAGCGTGCTGTTTCTGGAGAGCATTAGCTTGCCAAGTGCAAAGTCGAGTGCGCAAGTGGAGTTACGACGTGCGATAATCGCAGCGAGTGGCCAACAGAACGATGACCCGAGTTTGGGAGGCTTGCAGTGCAAGGCGCTGGAGAGTAGCAGCGGGGAAGAGATCAAGCGGATGAGGGCGGGGCTGTTGGAGGGCGTGTCACGTGCAAAGTACGTGACGGTATATGCGCAGGGTGGGATGTGATGTGCAGAAATTAGAGAGGGGATTAGCTGAGTAGGTTTTGAGTGGTGGTGTTGAGATTTGTGGGTAGTGGTAGCTGCAGGATCGGGCGTGTATATTGCATGGAACGTTGGAGTGAGCGAGCCTTTTACAAAAAGTGTTATCGAGGCGAAATTATGGCAGAATATTGAAAAGGTTTGTGGTTATGTAAACTGGCAGAGAGCGCGTGCGGCACCTGTCGGAGGCGGTGATCAAGCTGGACAGATTTCAGCATGCAATGCAATCCCGGAAACGAAACAGACCGCAGCCTGGTGTTCATGACCGAGAAGGTCATGCAGGTGGAGTCCAGAGAGGTGCATTGTCGGGGCATGTATCGAGAGGGAGCGGTAGTGGTGCTTCGAGCAGCAGGGAGGGTTCAGGGATGCTGAAAGGAGGAGACTATAAGAGCAAGAACGGGATGGTGAACAAGCGAATGCGGACTTCGTTGGCAGATGCACGAGTAGGATTTCAAGCGTGCTAGTTGTGTTTGTGGAATGAGATGGCTGGTGTGTTTGCTGTGCTAAATTATGTCTAAGGAAGTTTGGTTCTGTCAGTCCTTGTGTAACATAGAGTCCTTCAGAATCATCCTGTTTGTATTGGAGGCCGTGAGAAACGTGACTGAATTTTGGGGTTCCTGTCGAGCCAAGGCATTGGAGACCGCACTGGGCCAGTTTGTTGCTTCTTTGTTGGCAACTCGCCGAGATGCAATTGGCGCATGTGGACTCTCGTTTCGTGGATGAAGAAATAGTATTATATCACAGGCAACATCTATAAGATACGCTTTTATGTGCTATACATGAGAAGCCACACTTGAATGCGACATAATGGTATATAATATGTAGACGGTGGTGGTATGTGTCATTTATGAGTGTGTAGACAGTTCCTTATGTTTTAATTTGGGGATTGTATTGCAGCCCGAGGGACGACCGAGCAATTTGAGCGTGCAGCGGTCTTCAGGGGTACAAGGTAAAGAACGGGAGAGCCCGAGGTCAATTAGCATTTTAAACTCTCCAGTAGAAGAGAAGGCGAGAGCTGTTGGAGGGGGCGGGGGATATGAGAAGACGAAGATGAAGGGGAAGCGGTCGGCTACCACAAAGGGTGAAGTAGCTGTGGTGAGCAGCTCGAATGGTGACACGGACGCCGAGCGCGAACCCAAGGGGAGTGTTCTACATCACCGAGGTGGTGTCGACGGTCGATCGCGTCCGATCGAAGGCCACGGTTACAGGTTTTTTTACTGACTCATAATTGGTTTCGGTATTCATGGATGGGTTTTGGGTTATAATGGATAGAAATATGAGTGCAGCTTAGGAAAGTTAACTATAGAGCTGTCCTCCTGACCTGAATGATCAAAGACGACGCGGAAGTCTCGTATTAGGTTAATCAAACAGAATGTGTTGTTCTGGAGATTAGGTTGGCTTGGTTTTCTATTATAATGGAGGTTGGAAGAGTGTCAGCATATTCGTTAAAGAAAGAGTATTGGGTCGGTATGATGAGATTGTGGGGTTTGGTGCAATGCTTAACTGCTTAAGGGCTCTAGGCTTGGTGCGTGGATTGGGCAGGTCGACATCGTCGGGGCCTGTACATGGCACATTGTCTGTGCAGAGAGCGGAAGCAGTTGCACATGCGAATTGGGGAAGCATACGTGGAGGTGGCAAGGCGGAAGTGGAGGGTTTATCCTGTGGCTTGGGTAAAGTGGAGCGGTCTGGTTGGTCAGAGCGAGAGCTGGTGAATTTGAAGACTGGACCCAAGTGCGTGACGTGCTTTGATGTGGGTTGTAGAAGCCGTTGCTAGTATCTCATTGTGTAGAATTGTGGGATGTTATTTGTGAGATGTACTGATATGGTGATGTGTGAAGTGCGAGATTGTGATGGGAATGATTCTTGCAGTGATGGATGATTGAACGCTACTTGTGCGTGCTGTGGCAGACCGGTTTCTCGAGAAGAAGCACGCTCAGCTGGTCATGGCGTGTTGCCGAAAGCGAAACGGTCGAATCTGGTTGCAGGTGGCAATCAGGCCGGGCATATGGGTCGGTTGTCATCGTTCACGGATACTCGCGAGAAGCCATCAGTAATGACGAGTCCAACAAAGGTGTCGGTGCCGTCTGGGGCTATGATCAGGAAAGCGTTAGCCCCGTCGCGGTCGTCTTCCCCACCTGTAGCTTCTTGGGGGAGTTCCAGACCTCAGAAGATGGCACGTGCTAGGCGCGTGAATCTGAATCCGCCTGTGAGCATCTCTCTTCCAGAGAAGGTGGAGGCGAACGATGAAGCAGACGCAGTTGCTGGGGGCAAGGATGGAAGTGCATCACATGCGGTTCTAAGCGTAAGGCCCAATTCTTCGAGCTCAGTCGGAGGTATGAACTTGGCCAAACGAGCTCTTAATGGGGAGGTTTTTGGTCCAAACAAAGCAAAGTCGGAGCGGGTGACCACTTCGGTGGGAGTGGAGGAGTTGGTGGAGGAGATTGGTAAGAGTAAGGTTAGGAGCCGTGAAGGAGATGAGGAGGAAGGGCAGTGTAAGGGAAGTGGTGGGAGGGAGAAGTTAGGTAGTGTGGTGGCGACGATCAAGAAGGGAAATCCATTAGCATCAGAGGAGAGTGGAGGTGGGGACGGAGTTAGACGGCAAGGGCGGACAGGGAGGGGATCTGCGACACCACGGATGGTGACTGCGAGCTGTCTGGTGGAAAAGGTGGAGGTCTCACCAGTGAACGCAAAGCCGACAAGGAATGCAAGATCTGCTGTGGATTCGAAACTAGGCGGGTACGTATGTGTTGGAATTGGGGGCAAGAATGAGGTCGTGTTCGTGCTAGTGTGTAGGGTGATGCTTGTTATGCTAGAGGATGTTTGAAGTGAAATAACCCCGGGGATACTTGGAAGTATGCACTTTGGCTGATCCTATCAGTCTGTGGTGAAAATTGATTGATTGCTATGGAAAGTATATGTTAACAAGTAGAGCCTGTTGTTTGGAATCCAAGTCAAAGTTTGTGGGATGTTTCGTGGTATTGCTTTTGTGGTGCAACGTTTATCAAAGCCTGTGTGGGTTGGCGTGTGTAGAATTGGGCGTCCAGGCAGTAAGAAAGGCAATGCTGATCGAAAAACTTCTAGCAGACCGAGGCGATTAACTGGCAACATTGGAGCTGAGATGACAGGTGTGCTTTAATGCCTTTTTTGTGGGGATTGTTGGAGTTCTGGATTGAATGAAGTTTGCGTAGTAATTTGGCCAGTTGGCTGAGTTTTACTCGTGTTTTTGAGCAGAGGATGATGATGACCATGAGCAGCTGTCCAGAGCAGTTCAGCAAACTGTGGAGTTCAGTGGTGAGACTCCGTTCCGGTCCAAGGGGTGCAGACTTTCGAATTTGGAGCTTTGGTTTTCTATCACGTTAGTTTGAGGCTTTTGTACTTGTAGACCTCCTCGGGGCGCCTCTATTGTAAATCCTCGGCCATGATATGCTATTCCAAGTCAGATTTGGATTATGTACGAGTTCTTAGCAGAGGGAATCTTTCAGTGTTATTGTGCGATCATTTACATATGTACACTTTAACCATCGTCTCCTCTGGAATTTGTAGTGGTGATACTGTATTGTATGTATATTCCTTGTACGATTTGTTTACTTTTTTTATGTTCTTTTTGCGTGTACGCAGAGTCAGTATGCCCCAACAGTTTTTGGCGACAAGTGGAGCCATACTTCTCTTATGTTACGTCTGATAGCCTGTCTTTTCTGCGGAAACAAGTAATGATCAAATTGCATACACATTCCTGTGCTGGTCTGTCCTTCGTTCTCTGTGAATCATATGTCCAGGTCATGACAGTGTACATAATTGTGGTGAGAAATGTATATTTGTCTGTATTTTGAGTGCATGCAGCCATGCAGTTTGCATTGCTGTATGTTTTTGCGTTTAGAACTGTACTCATGTTTCTGAAGCAAGATGTATCTATGATGTTTACACAAGTATCTGATAGATGAATATGTGGAGAGTCAAGTGTATTGACGTTTCAACTTTAAAGAGATTTCTTGTCGGAATCTGTAGATGGCTGTGGTGGATGAAAGCAATACTGCTTCACAATCTCAGAGTTTGGATGCAGCAGTCAAAGCAGCAGTTATTAGGGACAGGACCTCACACGGTGACGTAGTGAAGAATTTGAACCAGTCCAAAGAGCAAAGCTGGAAGGATAGGGGTTTCAGGAGAGGCAGGAGTGGGGGATGGTATGAAAAATTCTCCTCATTGTCACAACGGCTACTGTCTGCGTTCCTCACCGAAAGGGAAGATGACAGGAGTGAGAACGTATACAATGAAGCTTATGCGAACCAAGACTCAGATTGTCCTTTGCCTCCCAATACGCACAGCGAGATGGAGTGTGATCCGCGAGATGCGGAAGGCGAGTCGGATGTTGATAACGCGAAATGTGAGTCAGAGTGGTGGAGCGCAAGGGTTAGGCGGGGAGGGTACAGCGAAGGGCTGCCCATATCTGGTGTCCAAGGGTTTCAGGCTTGGGATGAATATCAAGGTCTGCTACCCAGCTTTGGCGAGGATTTGAATGTGTGGATATCGTGGAGAGTGAGTGGAATGCTTCGTGATGCTATGTTTTGTGTATGTTAATTGCCCTAGGAAACGGTGCATTGGAGAATGCGCAAAGCGACTTTGCCAGTCCCGTTGTCATAAGTGTACAAGTAGTTGTTTGTGGACACAATCGGTGTGGTGATGTTGGATATTGGTGATGTTACAGATGAAGAGGATATCGTTGTTAAGAATGATGCAGATGGATCAGCAGGCGCAGATTGTGTTGATGAAGTGGAGGTGATTGATAGAGGGGATGATGCACGATTCAGGTGGAAGATTGAGAATGGGTGCATGGATTGGGAACAACAGTATGTAAGGATGAGCCTGGACGACAGATTGTTGGTGGAGCTAAACAGCATTGGACTGCTATCTGTGCAAGCGGTGAGTGCACATTGCATTCTTGATTGAGACAATGGAAATGTTGCATGGATGAATAAATGGTGTGTGTGGAGTTATTATTAGTGTCGTTGTTGTAGATGTCATGTATGCAATGAATTGTCAGTCGTGGTTTTTGCCAACTGCGATTTTTGAGTGTGTAGGGGTATTTCTGTTGTTTTGGTAGTTGCCAGTGCCTTCATTATCATTGTCGTTGTTATTGTTATCAGCATAAGATTCTGTTTCTTTTAAAATTTATAGTTGGCTTCGGTGGGTTCAACAGCATGAGCAGGATGAGCAAGAGGAGGATGATATCGGTGAAGAGTTGAGAAGGCTGGAAAATCAGCTTTTAGAGCAAGTAAGATGCTTTGGATGTGGATTGTGTTTGATGAGGTGAGGAGCAAGCATAAGGTGCCTTTGTTGTTTTCATTACACTGATGTTGTATGTTGTGTAATGTGCAGGTTTCGAGTAACAAGGAGCGTTTGTGCAGACTTGAAAGTGCTGTTTTAAAAAATAGAGTGGTTGAAGAAAGGTGGGATTGAAATGACATTAGTGACTTTCATATTTGCTTGGTATAAGTTTTGTAACTGTTGTAGAGGGACTTTTGCTGTTATTAGCATGCATCATGTCTGTTGACCGTTTCACGACCCTAATCATGTACATTAACGAGGAGAGTTTTGAAGATTAATGCTAGTTTAATTTGATTGTCGTCCTGCAGAGCACGCGAGAAGCTTGCGATGGACATACTTGTGGAGTTGGCGTATAAAAAAAATTCGGTAAATTTCTGAATTTGTGCTTGCTGAGCTTTACATGCCGGACGCGTAACTATGAAGTTGTAGCTCCTGCGGAAGTCCACCTATTATGGAAATAGCTGCTGAGCATCGGCCATTAGCATTCGGCGTTTCATTTCGGTGATGATAATTGAATCCAAGATAAAAGTGTGGCTCGAAACAGGGAATCCTCAGTTATTGACATGTATACGTTTTTTGCATTGCAGGGAGGTCGTTCAAACAAGGGAGCTGCTGCCAAAGTAGCAAAAGCAGCTGCACTTGCATTTGCTAAGCGAGTTTTGATAAGGGTTCAAAAATTTGAGGCTGGTCATAGCTGTATAACGGACCCTGCCTTACGCGAGCGACTTTTCTGTGTTGCTTCCAGTTCAGTGGAAGTCAGTCCCAATGCAGCCATGGATGTGGTAAAAGCTGGTGGAGCTGTTGCAGCCAGTGCTGAACGGATGACGTCACCAAGCACTGCAGGTGAGGTAGCATCGTGGTATACGGTTGTTTTAATGATCCATATTCTTTTCGAATGTATGTGTGTAGATGTTTGTAGACGATGCGTCTTTCAATGCAAGTGAGTGTTTTTTCAATCCTCGTAGTAGCCTCATTTCATTTGCATATGTTTTCATATTCCTGTACTTTTACGCACACCACAAGTTATCCCAGTTTTCTAGATCAGTTTGTGAAGGTTTTGTTTCATTGGTCAGTTTGGTTATCTTGTAAGTGAAGTTCATTGAATATGTTGGGTTTTACTTTTCCTGAATCATGCCAAGCGGAATACTGCTGATGAAAGCGTTAATTGGTTACGTGGTGCAGATGCAGAAAAGGGCTCCTATGATGGGCTGTCAGCTGGCGTGGATTGCAGTTATCTGAAAGAAGGGAGCCGGTTGTCTCGAGCCAGGGAACGGGAGGCCTTTCTGGAGGATGTCTCTGGTTACACAAGCACTTGTGATGTGAATATGATGAGCTCGAATGGGTATGGGGGAAGCAAGGGCAAACGAAGCGAACGCGAGAGGGATGGAAAGGTTGAGGATGGAGACGTATTAGCAAGGCCAGGTCAAAGAAATGCCAAGGGAGAGCGAAAGATGAAGACAAAACCGAGGCAAAAGACGGGATTGCTGCTGAAGTCAGTCCAGGGGTTGGTGCTAACGGCCGTGGAGCAGCAGTACGATCAAGGCATGCGGTCGAATCAGGGTCATTCGGCGGCAACAGATAGACATGCGGGTAGGAAAGAGGAGGTTGTTTCGAGTTTGCCAGTGTTTCAGGAAGCGACGGTGGAACCCGATGGACAAATCGACCTGTCGGCGATACCTCTTCCTGGAATGGAAGAAATTGGCATGGCTCAAGCGGATATGGGATCATGGCTTGACTTCGACTTGGAGGACTCCCTGCAACAGACGGACGACTTCCTGATGGGACTGGATGTTCCGATGGACGACTTGTCAGGGCTTCACATGATGATGTAAGATCGTAATGAAATTATCGGCGTGGACGATTTGTCGTTACGAAGGACGTGGTTCTTTTTGTACACTGAAATTTGGCCTCACGAAGGTCTTGAATTGGGTGCAAATCTCCGAATGGTGGGGAAAGGTTATGCTATGCTGTTTTGCAGGGCGAGGTTTGAGGTCGAATAAGGTTTTTGGTGAAATGCCCATCATGCTGGTACTTAAACAGAGTTCGAGATCTTAAGAAATTTTCCCGCAGAAGTGAGGCCACAGTTGAAGGCATGCCATGTAGTGAGCTGTGACTGGCTACAGAGGAAACTACCATCTTGTACCTAAATTTCTTGAATCATTTTATTCTTCCAGTAATAACTTTAACAGTGGGCATGCATTTTCTGCTGCACCCATTAGAGGTTTTGATTCATGCTATAAGCAGAACATGGAGGTTTCTGGAATAAATTTGAAGACAGCGTTGCCTCAATCTCACTGAAACGAAATAGTACCAGGGTTACCAGCTAGATATCTCTAAGATTCCAAGTTTCTCGGTTCAAGTGGGGTCTGCATGGAGAGCCAATAGGCGGCGTCCCTTCTGTTCTCTCTAAGCAGTGCTCTTTCTCCAACTGTAGCTGCTTCACGCATCGAAGATCGAAGTGCGAACCATCAATCTCCGCAGTACTGGTCTTGACATAGCAAGAATTTCGTCCGTTTTGTCCATCTGTGGATTGCTCTGTGACGCCGTGCATCAGATCATGAGCACATGGAAGACCAGCAATGCCACGGTTTCAACTCTCTTCAGCGTTTATCTCCCTCATCTAGTGCTCTTGTAAGTTTTCTCTCATGAAACGGGTGTGTAATTTTCAGTGAGGGTGGTACATTAGTAGGCAATTGACTTCGAAAGCTTCCTCATTGCGAAATTTTCCTGTCTACTTTACTCGAATATTGAAATGTTGGCACGCCTTATTGAGCGTGAGAAGTAGCCAAATTGATTGAAAGCTCTGGTGTGGCACACTTGCGGACTTCCGGCTTGAGTGGCACCATAAATTTTCCTCATTGTTTCCTTTGTCTTGACCTCTTTATCGCTCTTGAGTCTTACATATTGCTTTTGGTAGTAACCGTTGTCAGATGTAGCGACTAATCTTGAATTAGCGAATGTTCTTCAAAACCATCATTATTCAACAACCTCCATTTTCCCTTCTGCGGTTATTTACGATGGTCTCCAAGATTGATTCAGCGCTACCAGTTGCTTTGTATTTGCCTATTACCCATATTCAAGCATTTAGATAATTGAATCTTGTGGAACAATTTTAATAGTTACAGGTATTTACATGAAAAAGTGTGCAGCTAGAGAAAGTAATACGGGTTTGAATCAGGATGTGTGCCCGTAGTTGGATAAATGTGGAAAGTTCATCCAGTGCTTGAAGGTTCTTATCATGGTGTGAGGACATTAGAGCCAAAATTGATCGCAGAGAGTAGTGAGTGCGCCTCCTGTTCTCTAAATAATGTTAACTTTTTTCGATTAGATCTGATTTTTGCGCGTTATCAGAATTTACGGATATACAGCACACACTTGGATGATAAGTTTATGTGTTTTAAATTTGCTTTTGAGTTGTTTGTGGCTATGTTTCTTGCAGGTAATTATGCCACCTCTTTCCAATGACCAAAACCGGTGTGAGAAAGCCTTGACAGGTAACACCACTGATCAAGCAAATGGTGTTGCTGACAAGGTATTTCGGATGTGCGCTTTTTTTAATTAATGATGAGACCAATTTGAAGGGTAATACAGTCATGATCAGAAACCCTAAACCTTAAACCCAAAACCTGATGACATTGTTGTGATCTAAATTTTACCTTTTTGTCATAGTATTTAACGAAGTAAAGGTGTCGCAACATTTCATGTATATAGTGCTGCAATTCTGATGAAAACGGTTATCACAATCTAGTTCTTGTTCTAATGGTCCACCTTGGATCCATCCCACGTTGAACTAGGTATATGATGAGTTTTAAACATGTTAATTTTAATGTTTGCACATGGGCTGGTCTGCATTTACTCCAAAGCACCAGAATAAGGACACAGAACTTTACCTCAAGACCCTTCTAAGCACGACAAAGGACTGATTATTACGAGGACAACGATCAGAGTAGGTGGGTTTGAAACTTATGATTTAGTAAGTTGGGCATATGGCTAGTCCCAAGCTTTGAGCAGCATGTCTCAAGTTCATTGTGAGCCTTTCTGATGGACGAAGAGTATATGCCAGAAATAATGTCTTCTTTAACCGTGCATCCAATCAATCAATTAATCAATCGTTAGACACTTCAAAACCTTCGTTGTCAACCAATAGCCTCATGGGGTTCGCCCTATGGTCCTCATGCACCATCATGTCTGAGCCCTACAAGGTGACCAAAGCAACTACCATAGTAGTTGCAAAGTGGTTAACTATTTGATTTCAACCAAATCAGTACTTTTTTAGATAATTTTTTATTGTCACAACAAATAAATATATCATTATTTATTTTATTTGATCTTTTCTTTGCAAAGCATATAATTCAATAAATTATAGAATGTATACATGACATAATTAATCTTGTATATTTAGAAGTTAACAATTTCTAAAGATAGATTACATGTAGTGATTTAAGAGACATCTTAAATCTCTTGATTTTTTTGAAGTGTTGGTATATTTTTAAATGTTACATTGCATAAGTTTAAATCATATTCATTAGAAGTTTTAGATTATAGTACAAATGGCATTGAATTTTTTTCTTACATTCTATTTATCTAAAATAGTATATCAAAGTTAATCAAGTACAAATCCATAGATCCATAGAAATATCATTCTTAAATTTAATATATTTATCTATTTTTCTATAAAAAAATAATAATTTAATAAGTTATTTTATATATGTAGAAATAAACAATGTAGAAATAAAATAAGAATGAATAATATTTAATTAAAAGAATTATAAAGATATTAATATTAAAATATCATTTAAAAAAGTTATATTCTTTTTTATTTTAAAAATATTCTTTTATTTGACTCTTTTGATATTTATAATTTCTCAATTTTATTCATATATAAATGTATGGTGATTATTAGATTTAAATTTGTCATCAACAATCACACTATTGTGTAGAAGATTGTAGCCTATTTTAATTTTGATGATAAATATTAATATCAATTTCTATACTATAATTTTTTTTTTTTATTCTCACAGACATTCATATCTATCTAAATTAAAGAAGTTAGTTGGAAATAAATAGAAATAAATAGATTTGATAATATCTTGTGATAAATCTTCTTAGAAACTTCATAGATACAATTGATTTTAAACATGTATGTAGGTGATTAGTAGGTTGAAAACTTGGCCAACAAATATACACCATATTATACATGTTGGACACTAGTGGTAGAAGTTTGTTATGTGGCTCTTATCTGAAACTTGTCTTATAAATTAGATACATGTCTTATAAGTTGGACACATATTGAAGATCCTATACAACATTGCTACATAGCTCTTAATTAGATAGTTTATATGGAGGCAAGATTAAAGCATTCTTTATTCTTTTTAATGCATTTTTAATCCTTTGTCTTGTTTTAAGAGTCTATTGTCTTTTTGTTTTTTACAATAGCCATTCAAGTTCCAATATTATACTAATTTTGAGGAAATATCTATTTCTTTTGAATGACACAAGTGTGAATTGAGGTTTTATTTGTTTGTAATTCATATCCTTGATACTTATAATGCACTAAATTTTATTGTGTATTTTAAAAGATCAACTATAAAAATATATATATATATATATATATATTTTTATTGTAATAAGAATATATTACATATTAAAGAATTTTATTGTTATTTTAATATTTATTATTTATTTTGGATTTTTTAAATATTGGTATCTTTTAAAATTAAAGGCTTTAGTTTAAATATTAAATATGAAAAATATATATATAAATTTTAATACTAAATTTTATTTTTTAATATTTGATAAAAAAACTAAAAATATATAAGTATTTTGATATGGTTTAAATTAAGAATTTTAAAATATAAAATATCAACTATTAAAGAATAATATATATATATATATATATATATATATATATATATATACATGAATAAAGATTCATATAAAGCATTATAGAAGCATTATTATTGCTTCTATTGCACTATGGCTTGCTATTATATACTCTACTTCTATTATTGATCTTGCAATTGTTGGTTGTTTCTTGCAATTCTATAAAATAACTTTCACTGCAACAAAAAAATACATTTTATTATTGACCTTCTATCATATACATCTCAAATCCAATTCACATCATAATAACCATGCAAAGTAATGTTATCATCTCCAAGGCATAATTTGAAATACTTAGTACCTTTTAAGTATCTTATGATCCTTTTCATAGTTGTCTAATAGATTGGTTTAGCCTTTGAAATGTATTGGCTCATAACACTCACTGCATATGCAAGATCTACTTTTGTACCAACCATTGCATACATAAATGAGTCCATTATTTTCTTATATAGAATACCTTGCATTTGATCTTTAGCTTTAGCAAATTCTTCATCCACAAGCTTCATCAACTTCAAATTGGCCTCTAAAGATATATCTACAGGCTAGCACTCTTTTATATTGAATTTTTTCAACACTTCTTCAATATACTTGCTTTGACTCATTGTAATGGTCTTCTTAGTATGATCTTTCACAAACTCCAATTCTAAAGAATAGTGAAGCTCTTCCACATGACTCATCTCATATTCATTTTCTAATTTTGCCTTCAACCAATTCATCATCCGTAAGGTATTGATTGAGATAATCAAATTATCAATGTAAAGAATGACAATTATTATGAACTCACTTGATTGTATCACATACATGGAATAATCAGTCTTACTTCATTCAAATCCTTCATTCAAGAAAAATATGTCAATATGTTGATACTAAGCCTTTGATGATTGCTTAAGTTATATAAAGATTTCTTCAACTTACAAACGAGGTGTAAGTCTTTTTCTTCAATAAATCCTTGAAATTGATCCATTATCAAGGATAAGAACTTGATGAAAAAGTAATTCAGACAAATGAGCCTTCACTCAAAGAAAGGTAACAAAATATAAACAAATAAGTATGTATATTGAAAGAGAAACTGGAATAGCTATTGCCAAAAGACAAGAAAACTAGAGACCCTTGAAACTAAACTAGAAGCAAGAAAAGAGTTGACAAGAGTGAAGAAGGCTTCACTCTTGTCTCTATATATACTATCTAACTAGGGACTACATGGCAATGTTTTATATGACCTCCAATATGTATTGACTTTATAGAATATATGCCTTCACTTACAAGGCAAGTTTTTCTACGTGTGGGCCACATAGTTAGCTTGGTCTTTAAGCTAAAAACATGTGTGGCACATGGCCAACTTGTTGACCACGTTTCTAATCCAAAAAGTCAATTAAAGATACCTATGAAGTCAAAGCAACGTCTATAAAGCTTCTAGGAAGCTTCCATATCAAATACTATAGAATTAACTTATTTTTATCTACTTTTCCTTACTTCTACCTATTTATATATGTAATTACTGGCTTACATGAGTATGTCTGTGACATTATCCCCCCTTCTAGGGACGAGTTCTACGAGAAGCGGTCATCATATGTCGAAGAAATCTATGATGTGTCGAATTGTATTTGCCACATACTCTCATCTTTGTTCTTTTCGAAGATGATTGATAGGACCTTTCAACTATCGGTAGTATCCTATACTTGGGTGGGAAGACCACCCAGTTATCTGATTATTGTTGAGGCCTTCAAAACTTCCTTCAAATAAAACATTTGGAACACCACCAGGAGTTGTTTTTACCTCTAGTAAAATCACCAAACATCGAAAGTCCCTTCCAAGGTCGTGATACCAAACGCTTTGTATCTCACCATTTATTTGAGGAAGAACATGTCGTTCTTGAAGATCTTCATCTCAATTGCATCATCTTGAAGGTTAATACAATCGTAATGTCTTGTCCTACATGTCAGCAAAGGCTCTTGAGTCAAATCCGTTGGTTGTTGGTTCTCTATCTCTTGAGCATTACAACTACAAAGAAGCTACAAACAAGGATTGAAAGTAGAATGTTATCTTGCCTAGATCTTGTTTTTTTTATAAAGAAGATTTTCATCTTGATTTTGATGGATGTTGTCAATGAAAAGCCTCCACCACCTTTACTACATTTGCAAGATTCTTTACTGGCTCCCATGTGCATTCAATAATATCATATCCATGCCAATGGACAAGATACTCTAATTTATTTCGGCGTCGCCTTGAATCTAAGACTTCTTTTACTTCAAATTCTTCATTATTGTCCACTTCTATAGGAGGAGGTGGAATTTGTATTCTTCTTTGTATATCCACTATCTTATATGGTTTAAGAAGAGACACGTGGAATATAGGATGGACCTTCATTAACTCCAGTAGGTGTAATCGATATGAAACTAGATTGATTTATTTAGAAATAGGAAAAGGTCCAAGCCTACGATAGTCTAACTTATTACAAGGACAAGTAGTCTTGATATTGCGATGGAGTAACCATACCTTGTCATCCATGTTGAATTGTGGTTGTTCCTTCATATATACATCTGCATTTATCTTTTGTCGTTCTTCAGCTTCTTTTAATTACGCCTTCATTGTTGCATGTAACTCTGACAACCGATTTGTTATATCTTCTGCCACAGGATTATCAACTTTTGAAAAATCAAACGTCTCAAGTCGTGGATGATAACCATAATTGGCAAAGAAAGGTATTAATTGCATAGAAGAATGCACCATATTATTACAAGTAAACTCTGCCAATGGTAGAAGAATTGTCTAATCATCTTGTTGATAGTTGATGGTACATCTTAAGTATTGCTCCAAGACTTGGTTTACGTGCTCTATCTGTCTGTCAGTTTGAGGATGA